ACAACAACCCCCCCCAAAACAAAAAAACACCACTACCAAAACAAAAAAAGAGATTTAAGGAGCCAACCCCGGAAAATGCTTGTATATAGTATGTTGGGTACATAATAAGTGGATAAAACTGTTTGCTGTTGCAATTATACACCAACTTTGTGCTAAGCACTTTACATAAAGTCATTCGTTTAATCAGATACACCATATTGTTTCCACTTCAGTCCTGCCCAGGGTCATGGCCTCTCCCTGAAGAGGTAGGACTGGGGTTTGAACCTAGGTGGGATGACTCTGTAGTTGGGTGGGAGGCAGAGTTAGGCATGCCAGCTCTCAGCGCTGTGCCAGTGACTCAGAGCCCGTCCCCTTGGCCCGCCCTTTCCTGCTGACTCAGCCTGGATGATTCTTGAGCCCTTTTTCTGGAATTCAGGGCCTCAGGCAGTGATCTAGGACACCTTCCTTAGAGATGCCAGAGAGTGGGTCCAGTTCCCATGGTGGTCTTCCACTGTGTCCTGTGTCCCCCTTGGGAGCTTCTCTCAGGTGGAGGGGGCTTGTTGGACCTTGTGGTGCAGGGGGCAAACTGAGGCACAGAGGATCAGCGGCATGGCCGGGTGATACAGCATCAGCATCAATTTCCCATCTTCTCTCAGCCACCCCAGCCCCATCTCTCATCTCCTAGCTCAGCCCCCTGTTGTAGCTGTCCTCCACAACACCTGGCTATTTTTTAATTTTTTTTTTTGAGACAGGGTCTCACTATGTTGCTGTCAGTAGAGTGCTGTGGTGTCACAGCTCACAGCAACCTCCAACTCCTGGGCTCAAGTGATTCTCCTGCCTCCACCTCCCAAGTAGCGGGGACTATAGGCGCCTGCCACAATGCCTGGCTATTGTTGTTGTTGTTGCAGTTGTCATTGTTGTTTAGCAGGCCTGGGCTGGGCTCAAACCTGCCAGTCTTGGTGTATGTGGTTGGTGCCCCAACCACTGTGCTACGGGCACCGAGACAGAGAAGGCTGTTCTTAAAGTTCTCTTATCTACTGGACCCCCAAAGAGGAACACGATTGCCTTTGATCTCTTCCCTGAAATTTCATTAACAAGAGAAGATTAAAATTCATATCACAGGCTGGGTGAGGTGGCTCACCCCTGTAATCCTACCACTTGGGGGGCTGAGGCTGGTGGATTGCTTGAGCTGAGGAGTTCGAGACCAGCTTGAGCAAGAGTGAGACCCTGTCTCTACTAAAAATAGAAAAATTAGCTAGTCATTGTGGCGGGTGCCTGTAGTCCTAGCTGCTTGGGAGGCTGAGGCAGGAGGATGGCTTAAGCCCAGGAGTTTGAGGTTGCTGTGAGCTATGATGGCATAGCACCCTACCCAGCCATCATAAGACTCTGTCTCAAACAGAACAAAACAAAACAACCCCCCCCACAAACACAAACAAACAAACAAACAAAAACAAAACAAAACAAAAAAACAATAAAACTCCTAACAGAGGAAGAGAATGAAACTCAAACACCACACCTAGCACCCAAACTTTGTTTCAAATTAGTGTTTGCTCAGAATGTAGCATTCTACATTCTGTTTCTGGAGGAAATCATTGACAGGATAATGTCTGACTCCTGGGTCCATTCATCTCTCACAAAAGTGATATGCTGTGGTACTTCTAGCCTCCCTTCCCCTGTGAGGAAGGGTAAGCATGTGGACCTTGCTGGGTTATTGGGTAAACATTCTCCCATGACGGCCCTGTGCTATGCGCATTAAATAGATTTTGTGTGCTTTTTTTCTCCTATTAACCTATTGTTACTATATTTTCAGCAAACCTTTGAAGGGTGAGGGGAAGCTTTCCTTTGGCTCCTGTGTAGCACAGAATGGTGTTGAGGGTGCCATGGAAATCCCTACCTGGAGGCTCCTTTCCCAAGGGCGGTGACATTTGATCTGAGACCTGAATAGCTGTGAGAACCCTCCATGCCAGGAGCTGAGGGACAAGCAGCCTAAGCACAGGGAACAGGCTCTACACGGGCCCTGAGGTGGAAAAAATTGACCAGTTCCAGGAAGAGAATGGGGCAGTATTGAGTGGGCAGTGGGGCAGCTGGCAGAGTTGGGAGCAGTTTGCATTTTGTTCCAGTTTGGTGGGAAGCCACTGGGAGGTTTTAAGCCAGTGAGAAACCTGTTCCGTTAGGTGTGGTGGTGCACACCTGTCATCCCAGCTACTTGAGAGGCTAAGGCAGGAGGATAGATTAAGCTTAGAGTTCGAGACCAGCCTTGGCAACATAGCAAGATACTGTCTCTAAAAAAAAGTAAAAAAAAAAAAAAGTTCTGTTTTTAACTGTCTCTCTGGCTGCAGAGTAGAGACTAGACTATAGCCTAGAACACTGTGATTAGGGGAGTGTGGGGGTGCATGGTGGGGCCAGAGGTGGTGAGATATGGGCTGGTTTGAGATTTGGCTTTTGATGAGTTGGGAAGTGGCCTGACATTCCTATACCCATTTCATGGAGAGAGGACCTGCATCTCAGAGGTATTCCTTGCGTAAAGGGGAATATTATGTCACTTTACAGATGTAGAAATTTAGAGGGGAAGGAGTTTGCCAACAGAGACACAGCTAAGGCCAAATGTAGGTCTCTAGCACTTTCTCTGCTCCTGGACCGCCTTCCTTTCTAGGTGTGGCTGGTATTACTCACCATCTGCCTTTTGCAGATGGGGAAATGGAAGCTCAGAGAACAACACTCATGGCAGTGAGCCTGGGATAGGACCCAGGCCCCTGCTGCGGCCCTGCCTGCTTTCCTGGAGTGGCTATAGAGAAAAGACGAATGTAGCAGAGCCCACAAAAGCACAATAATGGAGGGGGGATTTCATCACATGCTCCTACCCTGCCCAGGGACAGGAGAGGATGAGGAGGCTATGTTGTTGGTGGGGAGGCAGGTGTGCCCTTGTCTGCCTCCTGGCTGGCTCCATGCCCAGCAGGCAAGTGTGTGCATGTGTGTGTGAGCACGCATGTGTGTCTGCGTGAGTGAGCATGAGAATGTGTGAGGCACCCAGCTACCTGTCCTGCTCAGACCCAGGGTGGCCTCACTTCTCTGTCCACTTACCTTCAGACCTCTTGTTTTCTGTACCTTATCTCTAGGGCCTGCTTAGGCTTCTTGATGAGAGACGATTAACCACAGACTCATTTTTCAAGGCTTCCATCCCACTTTTCCTGGCCAAGTTAAAAATATTCACAATGAGTAGGGCTGCGGGTGGGAGGAGCCGCTGTGTGGGGGAGGGCACCTGGGACCACAGAGAGAGAAGGGGCAGGGGTGTGTTGGGAGAGAGGCCTGGTGAGCTCTGGATGGAGAGCTTGGGAGAAGAGAGGGGCCAGGGGCTGGGTTTTGGCCTACTCCCACTCGCTGCCCTACTTTGTGAATTTGAGCAAGTTCCTTGCCTTCTCTGGGTCTCTGCTCCCGTCCCTGTTAATTGAGGAATTTTACACTTCAATTTAGTCTTTTTATTTTATTTTATTTATTTTTTTTGAGACAGCGCCTCAAGCTGTCCCCCTGGGCAGAGTACCGTGGCATCACAGCTCACAGCAACCTCAAACTCCTGGGCTCAAGCGAGTCTCCTGCCTCCGCCTCCCAAGTAGCTGGAACCACAGGTGCCCGCCACAATACCTGGCTATTTTTTGGTTGCAGCCGTCATTGTTGTTTGGCAGCCCGGGCTGGATTTGAACCCGCCACCTTAGGTATATGTGGCTGGCGCCTTAGCCACTTGAGCTATAGGCGCCGAGCCCAGAATATATAATGTTAAAACAGCTTATTCACTACAGGCTTTTCAGAGCCTTTTTTTTTTTAGACAGATTGTTACTTTGTGCCCTGGGTAGAGTGCCCTAGAGTCATAGCTCACAGCAACCTCAAACTCTTAGGCTCAAACGATTCTCTTGCCTCAGTCTCCCAAGTAGCTGGAACTAAAGGCGTCCCCCGTACAATGCCTGGCTAGTTTTAGAGATGAGGTGAGGTCTCACTATGGCTCAAGCAGTCCCCAACCTGTGAGCTCAGGCAATCGGCTTGCCTCTGCCTCCCAGAGTGAGCCACCTAGCCTGGCCTCAGAGCTTCTATGGGTTGAAACTTTTACTTCTGTGGAAAGTAACATATATGTCCATGGGATCTAAATCAGAGGGTGTGCAAGGAGTTTGGGGAGCTCATACCTGTTTCCTGTATCAGGTGTGCTCCTCTGCTTCTCATGCTCTGCAGATACCACCGTAGTTTCTGATGTACCAGTCATGCGGGTATAGACTTAGCCCCATCACGGTCAGTGACTACCGGTCTGCGAGTGTGGATACTTGTTGATCAGACTTACATGACTTTAGCCAGGGACCAGCATCTGGAGGAACACCCTTTGAAGCGGGGTCCCTGGTCCCCATGTGGATTGGGACGTTATATAGGAGTTAGTGGTCCTCTATACGCCCAGATTCCCTTTTTAGAAAAGGTGCGCATGACCTCTGCCCTTTGCTGTCCACTCAGGGGCTGTCCTGATGAGCTTGAGGGAAGTCCAGAGCTAGCAGTCTATTTGGGGACACTGAGGCCAGGGAAGGGCAAGCAGTTGCCCGGGTTGTGTACCCGCGGGCTGCGCCAGGCGCGGACGCGCCTTGGGCGTGAGCAGCCGACGCGCGTGGCCCGGGGAAGGCGTGTGGCCGCGCGCGGGAGGGTGTGAGCGTGCGTGGCCCGCCCCGGCCCCGCCCCGAGGCCGGGCAGGTGTGGGCGGGCAGCCGGGACCCCGCGGAGCCCGGGCCGGGAGAGCCGGCGGGAAACAGGAAGC